AAGATGCTAACAGTAGCTTTACCAACGTTAAGTTCAAGTTACCAAGTTTAAATAAACCAAAAACACCCAGCAGCAAACAGACCAGCATGGAGGAGAGACTGCTACCACCAAAACAGCTCTCCTCATGTCTGAAAGAAGCTCCTTAATGAAGGGAGAAGCGCTCCCGGTGATTTTCTACATCTGCGATAGACACGAAGCAGCGCATCTGACCCCGGAAGTTGTTGTCCGTTGCCGGGAGACGAAGGGGCAAAACAGGAAAATAATCTAGTAGTGGACGGACGTTGTTCCGGGTCTTCGGTATTTGGCGGAGATTTTAGTGAAGGCGGAGAAGAGGGCGAACTAGAGGAAAAACGGGCAGATTCCTCCTCTATTTACAAACTCCTGGGGATGCAACAAGTGGGCGCGGTGCGTCGACTTCCGGATCTGACGTCGACACATTTTTAGAATCGAGCCGTCGACTTCGTCGAGGCTTCGCTACAGCCCTACGCGCCGGTTCTATTTTCTACGCACGACGCCTCTGAAACGGGTCAAGTTCGACATTTTTGGGGAAGGAAAGACAGGAAATCGGACGCGGAAATGGAGAGGAGCTCCCGAGATTTTCAGAATAAAGAACGTACTGCCTTCCGGTTGCTTTACTTTAAAAAACGTTACTAACTGTGCGGCCCCGTGAGAAGTTATCACCTAGCTAGCGGTCTCCTTTGTTTTTCAGGTCCGTATTGGCGATCATAAAACGGATAGAACATAAAACACAAACATTTTGGAGCCATGTTGTAGTTTTCTCCTGCTTGTTGTTGTGTTTACTGATGAAGTCACTCATGTGACTTCGTGCTCTGTCGGTGACAGCTGCTCCCCTGCTGCTTTGCGTCTCGTGGGAAGGGCCAAGCAGCAGTTTACGCGAGCAAGACGTGCTGCTGCAGTAACGTGCTGCTGACGGCTCCCGTGGAAACCCGGGGTAAGTGTGAGTCCATTTGTGAGCAGAGTTTCAACTAAAATGCTGTTTAGGAACGGCCAAATTCTAAGAACTTTTAGAGACATAAATATTTTGCAGAAAATAAACATTACAACTAAAATATAAACAAATTAAATGTTTCAGCTGGCTAATAGATTGCTGCCAACCCCACCGAGAGTCGAACCAGCATCAGCTGAGGGGAAAGCAAAACTTAAGTCAGGTGATCATGCCACTGGGCTACCAGAACCCATACAACAATAAGCCTTAAATGCTGTTGTAGGCTGCTTTTGTTGGAGCGGTTGTGGGCAGATATTTGCTAAAAGAAACCTTTTCGTTTCGGGATATAGTCAGGCTTTGTCATGTAGCAAGTTATATTTATCTTGTTTAATTGGAGCATAGAACATAGCATTAACAATTGTAAACTAGAAACAGCCGTAATTCATGTGGGTCAGGTTAGTTTGCGATAAAGTTAAAAAACAAAAACAGAAGAAGTCAGTGGGCTAGGCTGAGTTTGTGTGAATGGGCGGGGCTGATCCTCGACTACAGAAGCTGGCTCTTGGCACATGGAATGTCACCTCTCTGGTGGGGAAGGAGCCAGTGTGTGAGGTTGGGAGGTTCCGACTAGATCTAGTCGGACTCACCTCAGCGCACGGCTCTGGCTCTGGAACCAGTTTCCTTGAGAGGGGTTGGACTTTCTACCACTCTGGAGTTGCTCCCACTGAGAGGCGCTGAGCAGGGGTAGGCATACTAGTTGCCCCCCATCTTGGTGCCTGTACAGTGAATGAGAGGGTAGCCTCCCTCTGCCTACGTGAGGGGGGATGGGTTCTGACTGTGGTCTGTGCTTATGCACCAAACTACAGCTCAGACTACCCACCCTTTTTGGAGTAAATGAACAATTTACTTTGCTGAGCTTAAGTAGGGTTTTAGGAAGGATTCTATGCAAAGTGTTATAAGTGAGACCCTGAGACCCCAAGAAACGTGTTGCTTTGCATGCTGCTGATCAGTCCTTTTCTAGATCCTCAGCCAGATCCACACACACACAGGGGATTGCTATACTGTTGGGAAAAAAAAGCCTCCTCATCGACCCCATACAGGAGGAGTCAGACGAACAGAGCGACTAGTAAAATTGACCAAAACATTAATTGATCATTATCCAAGAACCTGATTACTTGATTGTCATTAAGCGCCAGAATGGTGTGATAGCCCGATCTCTGACGCAGCTGATGTGCGAACAGACATCCTGGACTCTCACCGTGTTCATAATATTCACAGCGTGATTTAGAAATAGCATATTTGACCTGTCGAGTAGATAAGGTGTTAAATTCTGTTAGAAGTAGGGATGCAAAATATATCGGCATCAATATCACTACCGGCCGATGTTTGTAATCTTTTAACATCGGTATCGGTCTGATAAATAAAACTGGGCCAGTATTAACAACCAATATTTTTTCCATCTCGTTTCCATTTGGTTATCTGTTTCGGGGGGGGGGGGGGGGGGGGGGGGGGGGGCATTTGTTTAGTCATGTGACCAGGGTCCGAAATTAAATTTTTTACTCACCGGCCAAGTTGGCTGGTAGATGATGAAAATCTACCGGCCAAGCATATTTTTTACCGGCCAACATTCTAAATGATTTAGATCTACCGAAAGCATGTTATTCTATATTATGTTGATTCCAAACAGAGTGACAAAATTATTAAAACATCAGTTAATGAGGAAAAACAACTCTTTTGTCATTTTTACTATTTATTTATTTATTTTTAGAGATGTTTTTATGAACTCTTTCATTGAAATCTAGTCAGACTCCTTGTTTTCTCTGTCCATGAAGTCTGGCCTCCTGCTTCTGACACCGTCTTTGTGCCAAAGCATTACAGCCTCATTTGGGTCCTAGTCCTTGATCTCTGGAGAACACAGCTGCACCATGAGAATATCTGAAAGTGTGTCAGGGCTAGGGTTGTCACGGTAACCGGTGTAGCGGTAAACCCCGGTAAAAAAGTTGACAATAATAATAACTGTCTTGTTTTTTAAAAAAAAAAATTATCTCGGTGGATTACCGTGGCTGCGGTGTAGGCGCGGTGACCCTTACCAGCCACCGTATCATCTGCTGAAGTTGCCGGCGGCACTTGCGCACTTTAGCACTCGGGACATTTATTATCCCTCAAAGTCAGAAGTACGGGCATTTTCTGGATATTTGAAGAATGCTGAGGGACAGTTTATAGAAGACGGCTATCCTGTTTAAAGCACGAGCAGAAAAAGTGTCTGTGAAAGGCAGCAACGCTACGTGGCCATCATAATGTAGCCATTGTCTCACGATTCCGCTATCTCCAGTTCGCCACTTTTCACAAAATCTTCTGGTCGCCACTGGTCCTGGTGGTTTTTCTTCCAGTTCGACGAGTTTTCTTTTGGAAGGCTGGCTGACTCCAGTTAAAAACTGCCACATTTCACTGCTAGTTTTAACACGGTGCTAACTGCTAACTTGATAAACTGATTGAATGGGATAGGTGGAAATGACGTTGGATGCGGCGCTCACGTTTCACGTATGTTTGTGTACGTTGCATGCAGGCGGGAGGAGTATCAGAAATCCATGGAAGATGACTGATAAACATAACTAATTTGGTGCAAACATTTACTCGCCAGGTGGCAGATAGAGCTCAAAAATTTACTCGCCAAATGGAGCAATTTGCTCGCATTTGGCGAGTGGCGAGTGTTAATTTCGGACCCTGCATGTGACATTGATTGTAATCACCTCAAAAGCGTAAATGTGTGTGGTGTGTGCACATAATAAAGTAAATTAAACTTTTATAGTTTTCATTCTATACAAAATCTGCTGATTTTAGAAGCATTAATGTCAGTATATCAGTATCCGCAAATATCGGTTATCGGCCACAACAGTGATATTAATATCGGATATTGGTATCGGCCCAAAAATTTCATATAGGTACATCACTAGTTAGAAGAGACATGTGTTTCCTGATCAAAGTCGGTGAGAGGGAATGGCTAAGTTCCTCGTCCACATTCATCATCTCATCTGGGAGGGATTTCAGCCACTCATCCCTCTTCTGTTTCTTATTTGCATAATAAGAGATTATTTGACCCCTCAGATAAGCCTTCACGAACTCCCAGATAATAGAAAATAGCATTCCCAGGGTTTGGTTGATCGCAATAAAAAATTTAGTTTCAGTATTCATGAACTTGTCAAAGCTTTCTTCGTAAGGAATTGAACCGCCACGAGCGATAAACGGTCATGAGCTTGGGACAATTAACTTCATACTGAGTGGACTGTGACAAAATATAACTTTTACCCATTTTTCGCAGAAACACTTAAGATTGACTGAAAAATCCTTTTTGGCTCCATTTGGCAGTCAGATATTGCAGTGTTCACCTTTCTGTTTGTTTAGAGTGAAAGAAAGACTGCTCAAGTAGAAACTAATTAATAAATATGCTACCTATCAAACTAAAGTTGTTAACCAGAGGAAGAGAGTCTGATTCTCAGTTATACAAGTGGTGTGAACCCTAAAAATAAAGCTTTTGACCTTTAGCATGCTTCTGCAGTTATAAAATATTTGATTGTCATGAAAGAAAATATTGATACCACTTTAACATATTATTGATCAAATCCTGATTGTTACTTTTGTTATTAGTGTGTAGAATTTTGAGTTAAACTGATGCTTTTGCTTCAGAATACTTTATATTCAACTACAAATGCCTGAGTTTATTACTTGATGAAATGAAGGGGATTTACTGCCACTTGTATACAAATGACACTTGCAGCTAATAGCCAAAGACCTGGAAGAATTTTATTACTCAAAGGATATTTTTTAATTGATCTTCACATCCTGGAGAAGAAAAAAGATCAGCTCTTCTTTTTCACTCACTACAGTAAACAACCTCCCACTGACAAAATGCATTTGTCACTGCTATAAAAAGGTAAACAGACACATCAAAGAGTGGAATGCTATGCTGAATGTTTGCTATGATGTCTAACATTAGTAGGGCAGACAGGGCACCCATCAGGTTAGCTCCCAGGCTACAGCTAGCTGTATGAATACATACCACTTTTGTTATTTTCCTCTCTGGTAGTTTTCGCCGCTTCTTCGTCATCTTCAGCCTCTGACCAGTCGAAAGCCTGCCGCCGCTCTCCAACGGCCTCGGCCATTTTTTCATCCGCTGTTTGGTCCTCTGGTGGTGAGCTGCATGTCGTTTTGTCTGCTCCGGCAGCACCGGGCTCGACACTAACCTCTGAATCGACGCCGAGCTCATCGACGGGGGTGTCCGCTGGTTTATCACAAGTCGGCTCATCCTTCTGCTCCAGGCTGCTGCCCGAACCTGCCACCTCGGCCTGCTCCCCAGATGTTTCCACCTCCTCCACGGGGGTTTTCTCTCGTTTCGGAGACTTCGATGGGTCTGCAGCGGCCATGTTTCACCCCATGCAACCCCCCCCCCCTCCCCTCTCGTCCAGATCTCACCAGGATCACTCAAGCTGCGCGAGCAGAGAATTAAACTTCCGGTAGTTACTTTCAAAATAAAACACCTCGAAGGACAAACAGATGTGAATCATTACTTAAGAAAACACGGATTGAAGCTTTAAATGATACATTTCCAGTTTACTACTTGTTGTGATTTTATTGTTCCACACACTTAACTTTTTCTTCTCAACTTAATTCAACATTAGTAAACTTTTGAACTCACTCAGTAACATTGCAATTTGTCTTTTAGAAGCTAAATCTCTTCAGCTTTTTAATTTTATTAGGTTTAGTTACATTTAATCTGAACAGTACCTATCTACAAAATAGAACCTGTGCAAAACTACATAGATGATGGTCATATAATGCTTCTTTGTAGCTATATACAAACACATCCATGATGCTGCATGCAAGATCAACACCCCCTAGATTCTTAGATATGTTTTAAAATTCACCTTAAACATAAATTTAAGTCTGAATCACAATGTCTGTTATGTTTATACTTAAAAAAATCTTTCCAATTTTTAAAATTCATTAAAATATAACATTTTGCGTTAGAATGAACACACTTTTAGAGTGCAATCAAAACTTGGACATATTTGCATTGTGAAACCATTAAAACAGAACCAGTAAGAAAATATGACCCATCAACAAGGGGTCTGAACCAGATGCATTTAGCATTTCATTCCAATATTTTCCCTTTCCTTCATTTCTATTATGAGGGCATTAAAGTGCCCCTTCAAAATAAAAAAGCACAAGCTTACATTATCAGGTAAATACAATGGTTGCAAAACTACAAATGGAAAAGACTGCAGATCACAAGTACTTTTTGAATGTGGAGAAACGAGCTGAAACTTTAGGAGCATCACTGCCGCAAGTCATGTTGAGATACACGCACAACGAGCATCCGCAACTGCCATTTTTTGAGTTTCGGCGAATGAAGCTGTCACTTCTTTTTAGGTGCTTTTTTCTATAAAGTATTTTAGCACAAGTACATGCACACATCTGAGGAACGAAGATAATGTTAAGGCCACCCTATTATCTTGTGTCTACTTATCTGTGCTGCTTCAGTCCTTTCAGATTCAAAACCCTAAAGAACCAAATGAATCACAGATGTGTGGTGAGATGTGGAACTGCAGATAAATATTAAATACAGAAATACTGCATGTAAAAAAAGCATTGTCACATGTCACATTTTAAAACATCAAATATGCACCACATCGTTTCATTGAATACATTCTCAGCGCCGTCTTCTGCGTCTGTGGTCAGCCGCTCTACCTCGCCGCGACTTCTGCGTGTTTCCATTTGTGCCTACTGTTGGGTCAGAAGAAAAAGTGCCGTGAATATTCGGGGGTGAAGGTGCAGGTGCCACAGCAGCAGCTGAGTGATTATTCAAATGTTGGGAGATGTGTGGTTGCTGCTGTGTTTGGTGTTGTGGCTGATGCGAGTGCTGTGGCGTTTCAGCCCGCTGCTGCTGCGGTTCTAATGGCTGTAGCTGCTGGGGAACAGACTGTGGCTGTAAGTGCCGCTGAGGCGTTTGTGATGGTTGCACTTGTACACGATGTTGCTGGGGCTGTGGTGGATGTTGTTGCTGGGCTTCCAACACCGCCAAAAGCCTTTGCAACAGGACATTGTTTTGTTGCAAGCTGATTGCTAATGCCTCTTGTGATGCGACAAGGGTTCTCATGTCCTCTCTAAAACCTTCGCCAAAATCCTGGAGACTCTTTTCCACCCGATTTCCCAGCTGAACTGCGGCTTCTCCTAACCCTCGAAGTTCATCTTCGAGCCAGGAGCTGCGTGAGGGGATTTCGAGAGGACCCTGCTGTGCCCCAAGCGATGGCTGCGGACTGCTGGGTTGAGGGCTGCCATTGAGAAAAGGAGCACTATAGAGAGGAGAAGGAGGCAGCCATCGTTCAGAGGGAGGGGGTGGTCCAATTCCAAGACCCAGTCCTAATCCCAGTTTGTCATCCATGCTGTTCTCCACCGCCTCACAGTCGGGTTCCCCCAGGTCTCTTTCATGCTCAGGGTTGTCCTCGTCTTTCTCAAAACCGTCTCTTTCCGACCCGTCCACTCCTACCCCTGTAGGAAGCAGAAAAAGGCACGATAGAAACAAGCTGCACTCAAAAGACTGCTTCTAAATTGTAATCTGCTTTTACCTGGGTCGGAGTCAGGGAAGCACGGGAAACTGAGCTTGGGTCTGGTGCTTTGCTTTGGTCTGGCTTGCTGAAGCCTGGGGCTCGACTGAGAAGAGCGTCCAAGCATGGAGGCTCCCCTGCTGGACGGTAGGTAACAGCTGCGATGACGAGCATCTGCCAGACGGCCTCCATTGCGCCTCTTTAAATCGTCCCAGCGCTTCTTTACCTCTCGAAGAGTGCGTGGGACTCTGGACACAGCATTGACTCTCTCCAGGATTTCAGCCCAGATCCGCTCTCTTTCTCGCCGTCGGAGCCTGCCAGCCGGACCAAACAGTTCTCCCTCACAGCGAGTGACTTCTGACACCAACACTTCCAGCTCGGCTCCGCTGAATCGGCTCTTCCTTTTGCCGGCTCCACCAGCAGCCAGTGCAGCAGACATGGCTCTGTCTGTGGACAGAGCGAAGACAGGGCAGCTGGTTCACCTACACATAACTCTGTATCAGCAAAACTTATCTGACTATTGTCGATCGATTTATTTTACATACAATTCAAAAGTTGAGGTTTTTTTCTTCTTCATATTTTGCTTTAAAGGAGCCAGACTTTTGAGCATTATTCCATAATTTTGGGTAGCAGCTCGGCAGACTTTAAGCGGTTCTCTTGAGACATTTTCTGATGGGTTTTATTTTTGTGTGTAAAAGTTATGAAGTCAAATATTTTAAGGTTACAGTTTTTCTTAATTAGGTGATCCAAGGAGCTGTCTACATCAGGTTGGAAGATAATTATAAACTCTTCAAAAAATCTTTTAAAATTAAAAAGGTACGACAAAATTTCCTAAATTTTATTAACAAAACGACTCCTAAAATTTGTGATTCAGCAGCAATTTTGATATATTTTTCAGGTTTTTCAGATAATATCTTGATGTTTCTAAAAATCTGCCATGTTTCCTCAAGGTTTCTTAGTAATACTTCAGATCTTTAGGAGTGGAATTCTCTGGAAAGGTTACAAACTATTAATAACATATGAACAACCTCAGTTTGGAGAAATGGATTAGTTCTGATCAGACTAATGAACAAACGGTAAATCCCAATGCGGTTAGTTACACAATGAATCTCAAAACTATCATTCTACCTGAGTTTCTGTTTTTTATATAGAATTCTAGTTATTTACAGAAGAAATTAGTGGATGAGCTGTGCAACTTCCCATCCCAACTTCATACTTTTTCAGACCGACTGTGTAACATGAAATTGGCACCAGAATCAATGTTTACGAATAAAGAGCACAGCATTGCATTTGAATTTCTCTTTTCCCGATAAAATGTTTCCCATTCATGTCACCAAAGAAATGAGAACAAACAACCTTTTTTACAATATGATGTAACAAACCAACTAAAGATACTATTTATTTGCTAAGAGGTTTGTAATGTATAGACAAAACATTGGTTCATCCCTTCAATTTGGTGTCCGTTTTATGCTTCAACAGTTAATTCTGGAAATGAAGAAAACAAAAACAACCAATGTCCTACAACAAACTTTAGAAGACCTTCTGAAAACCTAGAAAACTATTTATAAAGACCACTTTAAAAACTATTACAGAAACATTTTGTTCCTTGGCAGTAAACTTAAAGAGCAAGTCACCCCTAACAAGAAGCGAACTTCACTCCCACTTCATGTTTGAAAAATGCAACAAATGCTGTTGCCTAGCAGACCGAGAGGGTGGAGCCACTAACAAATACACACACTCACGACATTGTGACATCATAATGTACCAGTTTACATCATAGCATACCTCTTAGCCAATAGCGGTGGCAGATTTAAATTCAAATGCAGTGCAGAGTTTTTACCTGACAACGGCACAACACTGACAGTTTCAGGCAGAAAATTTAAATTTTAACTAAAATGCACTAAAGTGCAAAACTATTGACAACACGTGTCTGCAGCACGATTAGACACACATTTATATAGTTTAGGGCTGCAACTAACGATTATTTTCATAATCGATTAATCTGTCGATTATTTTTTCGATTAATCGATTAATCGGTTTGTTATTGTTTAGCTATTTAACCTATACAAGTGATGGATGCATTTCAGTTAAGAAAAAAAAACATAAGAGAATTGTGCAGTTGACTGCAATCTATTTTATTGCACATGAACACAGTCAGCAGTATAAAATAAGCTAAACAGTGCAAAATATCAGTCCAGAATAATTTTTTAGCATTAGCTGGAAGCCTGCTCCTTCCACCATGGATAGTGGCCTCATGTCTTTTACCAGCATGTTTAGAATAGAGTTTGTAAGTGGTATGAATTGCTGGGGGGTGAGTGTCTTGTTCCCCATGTAGTTGTCAGGGTATCTGCAGGTTTAAGGGAGCCAAATTTAAGACTTTTTAAGACCTTTTTAAGGCCACTTTGACCAAATTTAAGCTATTTTTTTAAATTAAATTTAAACTATAATTTCCAGCTATTGCCTGGAACCGGTGCAAACCACGTTGCGAACGTGGGATTAGCCATCCAGTTACCATAAAAGTTGCACGTCCCCATGGTGCAATCTCCCACCAGCTTAAACAGCTAATGTGCTCATCTAAAAAAGCCCCCTTTCATAACCAACTGAATGTGTATGGTTCCGCTTACGCCAACATTGTACACAAAAAATGCTGAACACTAACTAGAAATTCATGATTAATTGAAATAAAATAATCTTGTTTATTGGGTCTTTGATAATTTAAGACCTTTGGAAACTGTATTTAAGGATTATTAGTAATTTTTAAGGATTTTTAAGGCCTTAAATTTGGAAAAGCAAATTTAAGACTTTTTAAGACTTTTTAAGGATCCGCGGATACCCTGAGTTGTCCATCGTTGCTTGTTTTTTTTTCTGCATAAGAAACACAAATGGACTGAAATAAGTACACATATAAAATAAAGCAGCACACACACTACAACACTAAATCAATATTATATTATTTGAATTAATTAACAATATACAGTGATCATTTATTTTGAGGGTTACGTTCTACAAAATAGCCCGCAACAGGAGATATTCAGAAAAAAATTCTAATTTTTTTACTATTAAAAAGCTCTAAGTAAGCAGCTCATGAGGTTTTTACTTTGAGTCGGGAGTGTTTAAATTAGCTAGAGAAATGTGAAAAATGTTTATTTTGTGTAATACTGTTTAAGAAACATGATAAAAATGTGTTGTGAGGCGTTTTACAGCGTTAGTTAGTAAAACAGCCTTTTAATAGTAAAAAAATGACTTTTTCTGAATTTCTCCTGTATTTAAAAATTGAAAGCGTACAACTATGCAGCGTTCTATTCACCTGGACACAGCTCGTCTGTAAATTTTTCACCGCGGAGTTGTCCTTTTTTGAATGAGGAACATAGTTATGGGTTTGTGCCGTTTTTCTCTTAACGAGAACATTCTTATAAACAGACGTGCTGAATTTGGCAAGCGCATGATTCACAACACGGAGGAGATTCACGATGGCATCTAGTCAATCAGAAGTAGAACACCGTAGACTGACGCGGCAAAAAAACATGTTTAACATCCAGTATAACGAACTCAGCTAAAACACTAAGTCCAGCTTGTTTATTTTCTGTTACTTACCGGGCTGGCTCTTCCAAATGACGGCTCACTTGACCGCGGTGCTCTTCCTCTGCTGCATCAGCCCCCACGTTTTCGTCTCAAATGTTCACTTAGGGACGTCGTGCTTCCGTGCTATGCTAGATGGTTTTTGCATATTTTACAGGTCACCCGTCTTTTCAAGGCATCTAGAGTGAAGTGCTCCCATACTCGTGAGGTTTTTGTCCGGGGTTTCTCTTCAGTTTTGTCGCTTCTATTTTTCTTCCGTATTTCCTCTTGTTCCGCCATCTCTCACGGCAAGATGAGCGTCAGTAACGTGATACGTCATGAAAACCGAGGGCACTCATTGGCTCATTTCTTCTTCTACGGCTCCACTGGTAGATCAGTGGCTCATTACTGCCACACACTGGCGGCAAATTTAACAGCTTGTAACCGATGTCAGATTGTGGTAAAAATAGACTTTATGCGGTAAAATATGATTATTAAACAACTAATCGATGACTAAAAAAGTTGTTAACTATTTTAATAATCGATTATAATCGATTAAATCGATTAGTTGTTTCAGCTCTAATATAGTTTATCAGAAAAAAATAGTTGATTTGGGGGTGACTTGCTCTTTAAATTAAACGAGGATTATCTTAAAATCATTTCACTGATTTACACACACAGAGCATGTTTTTTACTCTCACCTACAAACTATTCTTCTAATTGATCCAGTTTAATTATATTCAATGATCTGGTTTCCCATGATGGCTCCCACTTGTTTATAGACTTACTTTGTTCGATAGACAGGAGGTCATCTGAGGACATGCCAGGCGCCATGATGTTTGGGTGTACCACTACCACGTTGAAGGGGAGTCCTCCAGGTAAAGGTTGGCTCTGGTCACAGCTGCCATCTGAGTCCTCGTCCTCCCGGGGGAAGCCATTTTCTGAGGCTCCCCCTCCAAAGGGTCCCTCCGGAGACTCCACTTTGATGTGCATGGGAGGTGATTGCTCGTACAGCAGCCCCCCCTCCTCGTAGTACTCGGTCATGGATCAGATCTGGTTTTACAGTAGAACTGACTGGAGGGCCAATTCTGATCCTGGTAGCTTCTGCCCCATGAAGTCTGGTTTAAAAAGCCTAAAATGCTTCAGATATCAACACTTCAGCATTATCACGAGCCTGCTTTGAACATAGCATCCAAATGGCAGGTTTTCTTTTAGGAAAAAAAACTATTAGGCTACATTTAACTTGTTTAATTTTTAGATTAAGTCAGTGTTATGAAAAATATTTACCTAAAAAGATCAAACAAATGTAATGTGTAAGACTATGACGTCAATCTGGACCCATTTAAATCCTTTCCACTTATTCTCATCTACGCTGACATGGAACACAAAATAAAGGTATAATAAATAAAATCACATAAGCAGAGACTAGAACGGCAGGCTAAGAGCTACATGTCCATTTTTCTAACTGAAGCATCATCCAGACTCGCATCTGGAGCCGAAATACAAATGCATCAAATCAATACGTTCAGCTGCATAGAGCATTATGACAATTAAGCGCTTTGTTTTTACGTGATGTTTTTTTCTGTTTCATGTCGCATCGATGCGCATTTTCTTCTGCACCACATCCGCAACGGTTGCGCATTCCGCATACATTAGGAGCAGCTGATTAAATGAAGCTAGTAGTTAGCCGCAGCTCCGGGTGAAGCAGCGGGTTCTTCTGTGCTGTCGGTGTGAAAAAATGAACAAACCGGTGATGAAGATGAGCTTGTTTAATGTCTTACCTCATGATAAGTCCACATTAGAGGTAAAAACAAACCCAAACACGGCTAACTAACCTGTTAGCTAAGTAGCCGAAACACAAACCGTTTGACTGTCGCGTAGTGCTGACGTCAATCACGAGGTGCGTTCAGGAACAATCCGTTAAAACGTTCAAAGTTGCTGCTGACCTGTTAATTGATCAGCTGATACAGTGCACACTGGACACTCGAAATGTTTGGTCAGTTTTAGACCGCCTTCACACTGATGTGAGGCTGTTGTGCCTTTTGTTTATTTCTGACTTATTAAACAATCTTTATTTATTGTCACTTTCAGACAAAGAAGAGGTCCTCCACTCTCACTAAGTTCCAATTTTTCTGTATTACATGTTGATGTTTTACATTTTCTTGACAAGAAATGAAACAAACTAACAATTGTTAATTATTTTAAAGAAAATAATATAGATAATAACATAACAAATAATCATGATAAAAACTGAAAACTTAACCTATACCCTGAACACATTCATTGTAAAATAATCCCCCCCCCCACACACACACATATATATATATATATATATATATATATATATATATATATATATAGAGAGAGAGAGAGAGAGAGAGAGAGAGAGAGAGAGAGAGAGAGAGAGAGAGAGAGAGAGAGAGAGAGAGACGGACGGACGGACGGACGGACAGACAGACAGATAGAAGCATCTGCAATGTCACAAGATTTGGTTCTATCCAGTGTTGCATTAATTTTCACCAAGTCATTGATGATGGTAGTCTGACTGCTGCACAAAGCCTTCTCCAGCACATCCCAAAGAGGGTTAAGTTCTGGACTCTGTAGTGGCCAATACATGTGTGAAAATGATGTTTCATGCTCCTGTCATCTTGGAATATGCTGGTGAAGGTTCTCAGTCATCCAGGTCATGGTAATCCAAAGGGTTCATAAAGGCAACTGGACTCCTTAGGTTTCACTTATCATCATCAGAACTGACAAAGCTCCTCGGATGAGAAGTGAAATGTCTTCAAGAAATCAAAGAAGTCCAGTTGCCTTCATTTGAACCCTTTGGGTCATCTTGGAATACACCCGTGTCATCAGGGAAGATGGAATAACCTGATCATTCAGTAGATTCAGGTAGTCAGCTGACCTCATTCTTGGAGCACATCCTGTTGCTGAACCTAGACCTGACCAACAGCAGCAACCCCAGATCATAGCACTGCCTCCACAGGCTTGTACACTAGGCACTAGGCATAGGCGCATCGTTTCATCTGCCTCTCTTCTTACCCTGAAATACCACCTTGCATCATTGTGGAACAGGGTCCATCTGGACTCACCAGACCACACGACCTTCTTCCATTGCACCAGAGTACAATCTTTATACTCCCTAGCAAATTGAAGCCTTTTTTCCCAGTTTGCCTCACTGATCAGTAGTTTTCTTATTTTCTTCAGTTCCAATCATAGGCGTCATTTTAACCGGGGACGCCGGGGACATGTCCCCGGCAAAATTCGTGATTGGCAGCTGTGTCCCCCCCCACTTTCAAAAAAGCCTGCTGATGAGGATTTTTGTTTTACCAGCTCAGATCTTATACCAGGGGTCGGCAACCTGTTCCCATCAAAGAGCCATTATTACCCATTTCCCACGGTAAAGAAAACACCGCAGCAGCCGCAGCGTTGCGGGCGGGGCCTACCCTCAGACAGCAGAGCGCTGCTCACAACAGGTGACAGCAGCCGGGGGCATCACACCCGTGGGGGATTCAACACCCACACTTCTCCAGCTGTTTTGCTCACCTCCACACCAGTCTGGTTTCTTTACGTCGCACTCACTCTGTTTGCCTCATCTCCTTCTTCACCTCCCAGCCGATGTCGGGTTTCCAGGCGCGCAGGAGAGGGAGGGACGGAAGAGCTCGACAGAATTCATAATTTTAAAGTCTGAGTTTGATAAAGTGAAGAACAACAATTTGCAGAGGTTTATAACTGGCGCGGCGCCAGGTTTTCATTTTTGGGTGGGCCATGGTAATTTTGGACGGACCTTAATAAGCAGTGACTTAGTGAAGCAGGCAGGTCGCGCTAGAAAATTTAGTTTAAAAAGACGTCATAAATGTTTTCCCCCGTCATTTTTATTTATAAAATATGAAGTAAAAACTCCCAATTTAATTTACATTCATTTGTCATTAATATTTAGTCTACACCCGTGCGTTAAGTGGACCAACTTCCAGTAAACGCAAAGCATCCAGCCCACCTCTCCAAATGCGTAAAATGTGCATCAGCCGCTAGTTAGGCGTGCCGCGCGCACCATCAGCTGATCAGCCCAGACAAGAGCAGAGCAAATAGAGAAAGAATAGAGGATAATTGTGTCTGGATGTGGATGGAGATTACATTTTACAGCAGCCTGATCATCATTTAAATACGTAAACCATCACCTGGCTTCTAGTCCACGCTATCAGCATTATTTTAATTGGTGCGTGTGTGTGTGTGTGGGTGTGTGTGTGTGTGTGTGTGTGTGTGTGTGTGTGTGTGTGTGTGTGTGTGTGTGTTTTCCACTTCAAACACTGGTCTAACCAACCAGACCAGCGTGTCCAGTAACACATTAATGTTACAATTAAACCTGATTAACCCCAGAGCCATGTGCACTGCACTGTACTGACTGTAAATGAGGGGGAAACTATTTAATCGGATCCTTTACTTTTCAACATGGTTTAATGTAAAGTTTCATTCAGTACAAACTTTAGTTACACCAATCTAACTAGACAGAGCCTAGATTTGTATTCTGAACAGTTTAAACATGTTTAAAGCGGAGACATGCGTGACGCGTCTAAAATTCGCACCTGCTCCGCTATTATGGAAATTAAACTAACAAGATGAATAAAATGAAATTATTTTAGGCACAGACAACATCCCCCACACTTTTGAAAATCTTGCAACGCGCCTAATCACTCATGTACGTCTTAATTATCTTTCATTAGACGATAATCAATAAAACGATTTATATAAAGTGGATCCAGAAGTAGTAGCCCGTCTCTGCCTTCAATTTTTGGTATTTTTCACCCTGTTGATGGTTTTACTGAGCAGGTGCCCCTTTTGTCCTACGTTTCTTTTTAAAACATGTTTAGACTGTTCAGAATACAAATCCAGGCTCTGTCACGTTTGATTGTTGTAATTAAACTTTGTAGGTGGGGAAGGTCAGAAAGCAGCTCAGAAGCGCCAATATGATTATGCACAAGCGTGACGCGCCAACCCGGTCTCACAGTAAGACCGGGTTGGAACTGTTCAGGTTTACGCAGACAATCTTTACATGTAGAATTAGCTTACAGATGTAAAATTAATGCAGTAAAATATAAAGCTTTTCATTTAAATATCCATTAATTATTTCACAAGCACAGAGAGCCGCATGCGGTTCCAGAGCCGCCGACCCCTGTGCTAGCCTACTTTATTGTCCCCAGCAATTTTTAAACCCCACTCAAGTGTATGGTTATTGTCCCCAGCAATTCTGAAAACAAACTGACGCCCTTGGTTCCAATCCCATGAGTTCCCTTCACATTGTGCATGTGGAAATGCTCTTTTACTGTTAAACATAGCCCTGAGTTCTACTGTTGTTTTTCTTCAATTTAATTTCACCAAATGTTCGAGTGATCACCGATCACGATTATTCGGGATTTTATTCCAGCTGCATTTCTTCCTTGAAGACAATGAAGACTATTGTCCTTCCAATTTTTGAAAATGCGTTGAACAGTTCTTAACCCAATTTTAGTTTCTGCAATCTCCTTAGATATTTTCTCTCTCGGTATGATGCATGCCAATGATTTGACCCTTCTCAAACAGACTAACATAGTTTCCACCACCGTGAGATGTGTCTTTCCACATGGTTGTTTAAGAAATGAGAAACAACTCAAAGCACCAGTTGGGATTGAAAAACTTGTTGCCAGCTGAAAGATAATTGCCCTGCAGTAAATATCCAATAGGACGCTCGGTGCTTAGTTAAATCCAGGTGGTGAGTTAGTTTTTTATTTTTGGCCAGGCAGTAGATGAATAATTTTTTTTTGCTCTCAGCTGGCCCAAACTGTTACTACTAAATTTGTGTTAACAGCACAGTAAGTCTAAGAAAGCCAGAACATCCTCACTTAAACACTACTTAACAACTAAAACTCAACAAATCTAGTTTAGAAAGAAAGAAAACAATTTTTTAAATAGCGCCTCTCAAGAGGCGCTTCACAAAAACAAAAAAAAAAATCAAAATATAAAAATGATTTAAAAAATTGATTAAAAATATGTTTAAAATGAGAAAAAAATGTGATCAAAATGTAGGGAAAGGGAGAGAGTAAATGAACAGGAAAGAGGAAAATCAGTGGATCCCGGTAAAGGCAGAGTAAGAGCAGAACAAGGAGAGGGTGGTGATGAAGGTCACACCAAAACCAATGTAAGGAAAAATAATGTTTTATCACATAGGTTACATGCAACATTTGGCATTGTTGGCAGGATCCATGTAGTACTGTGCAGTAGATCCGTGGATTTGAAGTTTGTGGCACCCTGTGCTGGAGCACGGGGACGTGCATGTGGGAAGAATGGGGAAGATATGATAGGGTGAGTGTCACTGTATCCCGACTGACCATGTGCCCGGGCTACTTGGCCAAGGGGATGTCCCTTTGGCTGACTGGTTAGTGTGTGTGACTCTCACCTGGAAGTCTGGGGATTGAATCCCGCCCAGGTCCTTGTTTCTCCACCTTGTCACATTTGGAACAAATAGGTTTTCAGCTGCTTTTTAAAGGAGACCACTGGGTCCACAGATCTCAGGCTCAGGGGGAGAGAGCCTGGTGCACTGCACAACCAACACGCTTGGATCATTGGACATCTGGGGGTGAAGGTACTGAGAAGATCACCAATGTAAGATGGTGCTTGTCCATGTAAGGCTCTATAGACCAGAACCAGGATCTTGAAATGAACCCTGAAGTTGACTGGCAGCCAGTGAAGCTGGAGAAGCGGGGTGATGTGGGTGTGTTTGGAGGACTTGGTCAGAAGCCGAGCACAGGCGTTCTGAACCACCTGTAGACGGTTCAGGGAGGTTCTGCTCAGACACGTGAAAAGAGAGTTACAGTAGTCTAAGCGTGAGGAGATGAAGGTGTGGAGAACTGTCTCAAGTTCAGAG